GTCTGATATGCCGCTCTCAGTCCTATCCGTGATGGATGACGCCCCTCGGCCCGGAGTCGACTCTCCAGCGGCTCCGCCTCGGCTTCAGTAGCACGTTTCCGATGACAGCACAAAGCTAACGCAGGCCCGTTATAAATGACCCTATAGCGCTGCCATTTGTCACACGGCGTCTGTGGAAAATTATTCATAGAGAAGTGCATGTAGGCCGAGGCCTAAGTGTAGGTTGACGAACGGAGCAGGTTGTTGGGCGTAACACTGCTAGGCGTAATTTTTCACGTCTGTCTGTGATACGAGCACTTAAGCAGGTACATTCGTGGGTCGTTTCAGTACACTTATTATAACCTAACGAAAATGCTCTATAACTTTTCACATACACTTATACGAAACATGAAGAGGACTGAACCGGCGAAATATGTGTGAAGAGGTATTTATAAGCAAAGGGGATTTCGATGAGCCATATTGCTTGCCTCAAAAAAGCAGCCCGCTTCTCTCCAAGGTGCAGCTCGAGCCCCACCAGACGAAACCTTCAATAGTCACGTATACCTTCAATATACCTTCAATAGTCAAGGGCTTGTAGGTACTCACGCATTGATGGTGAATGAATAATGATTACACTCAATCTATGTGAACTAAATCCCCTTGCAAATCGCTCATGTCAGACCCAAAATCGGACGATTATGTTGGCACCGCTAATTGATCAATGATCAAGAGACGTAACATGACTAAACAAAGTCGGGTAACCGCTCTGATGCCCGTTGATTATGCCTGATAGAATCATGCTTACAATTTAATAGACTTACATTAACAAATCTTAATCTAGGTGATATGTGATGAGCGATCATTGTCAGAAGTAATCTTGATCGTGATATAGCTTTCGCCCCATGTAAGTACATAGGCTCTATTTATTGCAATGCATAGCGCATACCTACTTACCTTTTGAATAAGGACTCTGAAGCGTGAGCCGACGGCAATGGTTGGGACCTGGCCGGGATATTCATCAAAGTGTGAGTAGTGATCCAGCGACCAGCACAGATTACAAAAACCCCAGTTGGTCAGTTAGACAGGACATACCGAGAAATCGTTTGCCACCGGAGAAAGCCAGGCTCGTGGTCTTTACGCAGAACACCATGCGTGAAAACAGTGAAATGAGTCGCAAGCGGCAGATGCGGTACGGTACTACATTCTGCAAAGCAATCCGTTTGAGTCTCCAGTCGCCATGCATTATGTGATTCGCTGCATAAATTCACTACACGTTTACTGCCATTTTTCTTCTGTATTCATCAACATAAGATAAAGTGACAATGGCAATGGACCATGCACTTGCGTCGCGGCTTGAAATTTAGGATTTTATTGAACTGATTTTCTTCAAGCAGCCGGAACCGGCGGGTTATAATTTCGTGTGATCTGCATGTGACCGCAGCGGTCGGTCTCCGCCATCCCTGCACCACTCGCGCTATATTAGAGCATCCATGTTTCAGTGGCGGTGTGCGGCCGCCCGCTGGCGTGTGCCACCCATCCTTCATGTGTCCGGGGACCCTGAGGAGCCGGTGGGCCGCCGACCTTCAGTGGAGACCTGCCCTGACCTCCCCCGGCGACCTGTGCGGGACGGCGTGCGTCTCGGTGTGAGATATCACGCCGCTGAGATGACAGTATCCCTCTCCCAGCTCCATTTGAGAATGGCGGCAGGGCGGCGTGGGACTCCACGAGCGGTGGCGAGCGGAGGGCCGCATGAGTTCCCGAGGGCGCGGAGGTAGGTGGTATATCCCCGATAGACACTGGGCTTAGACACCTGGCGTCAGGGCACATGATGTAGCACGGCTGTCGAGCGGTTGGAACGGATTTGAAAGCTGACGTGCTCCGTGTTGACCAGACAAATGCAAGTTTGTTTGAACAATGAGCTTATGTACATATACACGGTGCAGTCAGTTTAAATGTAACTTCAACGTCGCTCGGTTGAAAACGTACCGAAGGTGGCAAGACCGTTGCGCTGGCGCCGTCGCCACGACCAAACCACTTATCTCTCCCCTCCCTCCGCTCTCCTAGGGGAACTCGAGTGGCCTCTCCGGCCAAACATTCAAACACTGTCTATAAACAGTGGAATATGTGCTCAGTCAGCTACGCATCGTCCTCCCATCGTCGCATGGCACGTGCTGCCACGGGGACACGTGGATGGTCCGGGCGGGTAATATAGCGTCCGATCGTGTGACAACTTGCCGAATACCGACCCCAGAGCAGCTCGGCACGAACGGAAATGGCATCATCAGGGGAATAAACACATCGGGAAATGAGCGGAGTTGTCATACTCCGACATTGGCTAAGTACGGATGAGTGGCGTTTGACGTTCAGTTCCGTTATCACAAGCGTCGGTAAGTTGGAGTCATGTTCCGGTTGATTCTGCATACCGTCGATGTATAAGGCTCTTGGATGAGAAAACTTTGTTTTAATCGCTGGTAACTGCAGTAAGTTGTTGCATTAGCCGTTTTCACGACGGACTATCTGGCGAATGCACCTAATTTAACCAAATCTGTGCCAAATATCTTTTACAGCAAATATCTTCAAATTATGGATTCATTTCAGTGTTTTAATCGATGATAATGTCTGATACTATGACAAAGGCATCTACCTCAGCAATTATTGCAGCCCTAGCTGATAGCAATGAAGAAACACACTGAACTTAATTTAACCAAATCTGCACCAAATCTGCACCAAATGTGACCAGATGTGTACCAAATGGCCGTCGTGAAAACGGCCATTAATAAACTGAAAATGCATTAGCATATTTGATTTTTAATTGATTATATTTAGGCAATGGCGTAACACTAACTCAGGCATACAAATTACAACGGCGCCCATGTTATTTGCAGAAAACATCGGTCGGTGCAGTTTCCCCGTCCGATAGGCCCGCCAAACAACATCAAACGGGTACCGGCTCCGACGGTGGAGTGCGCCCTCAGTCCGGCCCTATCTGTCTGTCTGTCTCGGACCATCTCCATCGGTCATATTTACACACGTCATACCCCGCCGCCAGGCCGGTCGGAGTCGACCAGAGCACGGCCAGAGCCTCCCGTCCGGGGCCGGTCACTGGCGGGCCTCTGATGGATAGCGATCTCCATGGGCGAGCTCACTCCCCCTCTACTCTCCCCAGTCAGCCGGCGAGCAGCCATCAGAGTGGCGTCACTTCCAGCGGCGGCCCGGTCACGTGACGGCCGTGCTCCGGTAGTGTCATTTCCGACCGGTTCATCCGAAATCGATCAGCCTCTGTGTGCCCGTCGGTGGACTTGACCGTGGACGAGAGCGATCGCCTTCGGAACCGGGGGCCGACGGGGGCCGGCCATCGAGACCTTCCTCAGGGCGATGATTAGGGACGATCAACGATGCAGTCAGTGAGTTGATTGTTCTGGCAATGCGGAAAATTCGGGGTTCGAGTTCCGAAAATGGAGAAGGTGAGGAACATTGCTCCAAGTGCAACGGCATTTTGCCTTTTAATAGATTAGTCGTTCAATACCGTTTAAACTCCCGTTAGATATCATTACCATCAATGGGTACCGTTCAAACTATAAATAAAAAATTATAGAACGCCATATTTTTGATGGGTGATTATTTATCGATGTAAAGATGGCTATTCCGGTTATGCATTACGGATTATGCAACAATAAATAATAATAAGATGACCCTCGGGTTTTTCCACGGCCAAAGACGTCTGAGGTCGTTGTCTGTTGGGTGACAGACCATCCCACTGGCTGTCTCCTATAGCCCAAGGGGATTAGCTGGAAATAAGCGCGGCTTCACTGCGCTGTCATGTCCGTCTGAAGGCTCATTTCCTGGTGTCTGCCAGCGCTAGCGGCGGCACGTGGTGACTCAGATTTGTCCACCAAGGGCGCTCCAAACGGGATCTGCCATAGGGGTCAGCTCAGGGCCTCAGTGAAATGGCAGCAGTTGGACAATGTCTCGAACTAGTTACTGTTCTCGGGCTGCGTGATCAGCCTGATTCATCAAACCTCCAGCTGAAAAAAACATAATTTCAGCTAATGAAAGACCACAGTTTCTAGTAATGAGCATGTATGTATCATTGTATGTGTTTGAACAAACCCTCTCGCACATATGCATGGACTGCGGCCCAAACGGTATAAAATTCCATATTCCGTTCGAATGCTGCTGCTCAACTGGCCACCAGCTGATATAAATAAATCGAATGCACGTATTGAATATAAAATAAGTTCCCGAGAAAAAACTAATGAAAAATTTCCGAACCTGGATCTTAAAGCCTTCTATACATTCACTGTTTTTTTTTATTAAATCCAGTAATACCTGCAAATCAAACATGCCTACCTACTGAGTACTGACATGAGTAGACTGGTAAGTGGTAACTATTTACGTATCGTGTTAGGTTTATAATAAATGCAGTTGTAAGCATAAATTTTCCTCTTTCTTACACACAAACATTGAGCGTCGACGCAGCGATTTCCGGCTTTTTTTTTTGCTATTTAACTTTGTCATTATGTTACTCATGATTGCTTCGATAATCGATGCTTTTATTATTCATAATTTCATTTTCATTCCATATATTTTTAGTTCATGTGTTATGAATTCCGTAGTCGTATAATAACACTGTTAAAAAAGACTGGCACGATGACAATGATCGTTCATCGTTGACAAATAAAACGAATGTGTTTTGGCTCTATGACGAGGCTTCTTTTATATACCTAGGTAGAATATAAAAATGCAGTATTTGTAATGATCGTTACGTTACAGATTTTATCTGGGAATCATTTACAAATATTGCGCGGTCCGCATCCCCTGTTGGATCGAGGCGCCCTCTCCTGATCCGTACCAGGTCCAAATGAGATGATAAATATATGAAAACATTAAACAAGGTACGGCATTGTTGTTACCGAGCGGCGGTGGCACATTCCTCAGTGCGCATGCGCCGCGGCACTGCGGCAGGTGACAGGTGGGCAGAGCGCGGGAAAACGGTTCCGCGCGCGCCCCGCGCGCCCGGCGGCGGCAGTGTGGCGCGGTCGGCGGGGGGGGGGGTGTGGTGTGTGTGGTTGTGCTCTGTGGGCTGATAGTGCGGCGATAGCGCAGACCGGGAGGGACGCCGCAGCAGAGACAGACCCCAGCGACCAGCTGCAGGTAAGTTTTAATGTTGAACCCAATAAACCCCTGTTTGGTAGCTACAGGCATAAGTGGGTGCTGCTGGCCCAGGCCTTCCGTCAATGTCTGCAGAAGAGGAGCATGATAAAAGGCGGCAACATCCTACAACCTTGGCTGACCCGGCTCCGGTTTATCCGATAGAATATGTTGATGTGTGTCGTTATTTGTTAGCGCCTGAATTTGTTTCTCATCTTACAGACATTGCGCAAGGTTATCACGTAGTACCGCATTACGCGCCGGGTTCAGTCGCGTTGCTGAGGTGAAGACCGTTTGCTGCGCATTTGACATTGGTTCTCTTTATCATGTTTGATATGCTTATCGCGTCCCCGCCTGGGCTGATAAGACTCACTGTTTCGCGGCTCCGGAGACGGGGCAGTGTAACGTACGGACTACGGGCTGCCGCCTGCACTGTGATGCCATGCCCAATGCCCATCAAAAGATGTTGAATTGCATATTGAAGCCGTAATGGCGACTGCCAGTTGATGGAAAATACCGTCCGTCAAGCTTCTGGCTCACAAATGTTACTCAGGCTCGTGTCTAATTATGCCATTTTTGCACACTTCGTGCCTATCGATGTAGCATTTTTGACCGATATTTCGTCTTTGGGAGTACCGATCTATGCTATCGGGATTACCCCGAATCGGTCATCCCCGCGTTCAGTCCAAGTCTGTGTGGTGGAGGGGAGGGGATGGGGCAGGGCGGGCCCGGGGGGCGGGGACCGTCTGCCGGGCGGCGGACCCGTCCCGTCTGCCACCTGGCGCATCTTGACCAGCAGCTGGCGGCGACGCCCCCTCCCCTCCCCCTCCCCACCATGAGAGAGGGCAGAGTGCACGGTCGGCGCCACCCCCCCACTCCGTCCCCCGCCTGTCGCGGGAGCGGGGGCAGGGGCGGGTCGCTCGCTGCTCCGCCGCCGTATTACAGCAGCCACCCCCTCCCCTCCCCTGCTGACGACTGCGGAAAATCGCGGACAGCCGACGTCCCCAGTCGGTGGCGATGTTCGACCGCCCGCGGCATCGGTATGAGACGCGGAAAGTCGGCGATCGCGGACGGACTCGCCAGTTTTCCCGGCAGCTACCGTGGGAGCGCGGGCCGCTGGGAGAGGGGGATGCGGGGGGTGGGGAGGTGGATTGGGTGGGCGATGGCCATTGCTATGGTGCAATGATGGGAGACGCAGCATTGGTGCTCATTGGTGACGTTGCTGGTAACTACGTTGGCCTAGATTTTGATGGCTCATGATTCTGGTGGAGCACTGTAAACCAAACTCGGGGTATCATGCAACCTAACATTTTCTCAACATAACAACCTGCTGCTTGTGCGGCTATTAAAAATTGGACAATTTAATGAGCTGTTCATTAGCTATTCAGCTACAGAACAAAATGGTAAAGTGACCTCCGACGTCAAGCCCTGATTGTGGAGGAAGTCCTGTTTCGGCCGTCGCTGTAACAATGATAATCAGATTACATCTATGATCGTTTATGAGGCAGTTCAGATTTTTCGGGATGTATAATCGGATAGACTGATTGTGATAAATTTACTTGGCTTCACAATGCAATCGCTCAATCATCCATATTTGACAATCCCGCTTCAAATGCCTATTGTTCACTTTCAGGCTACATTGTATGTACACAAAGTACCGACTTGTTTTGCAGGCACAAAATACCATGAAGACAATAATAATGTTTGCTCTATGGTTGCGAGCTGACGTACTCCCGTGTAGCTCACTGCTCAGAAATGTTTGTCTGGGTCCTTATTTCCAATGCGTGTCCTTAATTTGCATTTAATTCCTAACTTAGTTACTGGTCAGCTTAGGCCAAAGTGTTTTAAGTTGCTGTTGAAATTAGCTCCTTAATTACAACAATGACTGAGATGTTACTGATACATATTTTACGGCGAAATTCTTGTAATTTTGTCAAGATTAATGTCGAAAGAGCGTCTATTGATTCTTGCGACCTGAAGAGGTAACATTTGTAAAAGAATCGGCATTCCTATCTAATGGCCGATCAAAACGATCCATTGTTATCGTATGATGTCTTATCTTTGCGGTAACATTTTAAAACCATCGAGTCCTTTGTCGTAATCCAAAGTAGCTTATATCTAATGTGACCACCGACCTGTTTTTATCGGCGAATACAGCAAATACAGTGACGCTCACCTTCGGTGATTTAGTTTGTTGTTTGGTATAGCGAACAGTTCCGTTCATTGCACATTTTACGCCTCATTGTACGGCTAGAAGACAGTAACAAACTCGCGGATTACCGGCTGGCTGATGTCAGCAATCAGCAGCTGACGGCTGCTGACGCCGCTGACCGGGCTGCTGACCGGCGCTGACCGCTGTCACCATGAGGCGCCCGGCCGGAGTCGGTAGTGCCACCTTCCGTGTCAGAGGAAGCGGGTCAGCGCCCGTGTCCCCGCTCGTGGGGCTTCCAGAGGCGACTGAACGCCGGCCGTTCCTCAGATACCGCCGCACCGTGCTGGTCAGGTGTGGCCGGAGGGTGGGCTCACGGGATCGGCGGCACCGGACGACGGGGTGCGGGGCTTCCTCCGAGGCCACGAGGATGTCGATGTCGGTGACGACGATCGTTCGGAAATACTCATGGCCAAGAAATGAACCGAGGTGTCGATGGGAGTTTAGAGCCAGAACTACCGGAAGCTGCTAGATGAGTTTGAAATTTTAATAGTGTTTATGATCAATCTAATTTGTGGCAGTCGGCTCAGGTAATCCTGAACTGCTAAGCCTTTTCAATCGTCCCAATACAGAGGCATTTAGTTGGATTGGATCAATAATCCGTCAGACAGGCACCTGTCTATCCGCACGGTCCGCTCCACCAGAATGTCCTCTCCCCTCATCAGCCGCCTGCGTGTCCCCGTTTGTTCATTACCTTCCCAATGTCCTGCCCTAACCGTCCCCACCTGCCCGGTCCCACGGGTTAGCTCCCAGCACGCTCCGCGCGCCGTCGGACGGGCTTGCTGTGCCCGGCGTGCTGTGCCCGGTGTGCTCGCCGAGTCCGATGCGGGGGCGACCGCGCCACACTGCTCTGTGTCTAATCAGGAGCAAAGTGCAAAAACGGTCCAAGCTGGTGCATTTGACCCAGATTCACCGCTATCGGACCACGCTGGGGAGGGGGGGGGGGGGTACCCGGGTGGTGTCGGGAAGCCATGCTGGGTTTGGGGGGACGGGGGAGGGGGCTGCGGTTTCCGGTATTACCCCAGGTCCGGCCGAAGGTGAGGCATGACAAGGAAGAATGGCCTCGGGACCCGGGTACCAAAGGCGGCTATCGGAAATGTTGAGCAATCGGCAGGTCGTACTTGCGGACATGACGCTCTCATTTGCCATTCTGTGTTTACCAACTCAGGATTATGGTGTTTGGCATTCCCTTCCATACTGGCTCACCCTCTGGCGTTCTGTCCATACCGGCTCGCCCTCTGGCGTTTTGTCCATACCGGCTCTCCCGTCTGTCGTTTTGTCCATACTGGATAGTCATCTGCCGTTCCGTCCATACCGGCTCTCCCGTCTGCTGTTTGGCTCATCCATACCAGCCCTCATCTCTGTCGTTTTGTTCATTCCGGCTCTTCGTTCTGCCGTTCCGCTGACGGTCTGTTCATGCCGCCACTCTTCTCTCTCCCGCCTGCCATTCTGTCTTTCCGGCTCTCCGAGCGCCATTCCGACTGCGCCGGCTCCCATCTGCCCTTCCATCAATCAGCTCCTCCTTCCTGTCAGTTTCTGTCGTATCTATCGAGGCGGCAGCGGGACTGAGCCGCCCTCAGACGCTCCGGGCACATTATGCAATATGCATTCTATTGTCTGCCTCTGTGTGAACTATTCCCGGTGTTGCTGTCTCACAAGCAGCAGATAATGGCGGCCGACTCAAAGCCGCCGGCTCTTTCCTCTCTCTCGACTGCGCCGTCTTTGGATGATCCTGACGGAATAAATATGCCGCGCTGGACGGAAGAATCCCAGTCGGATTAAGAGAAGGGTTAGGGCGTGCTCGAGTATATTTTTGTCAGGCCGCCAGGCTGTGAGGACGCCATTTCTGGGTGCGGCTCTGAAATGGATCCGAGTCGATGTCGCCAAATTCGCCGCTGAATGGGACAGTGGCGGCCGGGGGTGGCCGATCATGAGCCGCCAGCCGAGCGGCTCCGAGCGCCGCCGCGCCGCGCAATGGTGCTCCGCCGTGAAATGTCCGCAGATAACCTCCGGAATGGCCTCTGTCCGTCCGGCTATGACTGGCCCGGCGCGGCGACGGCCTCGACACTCCGTCTGTGGTGTGCCCGACTTCTCCCCGTCGAACTCCGACTCACCGCTCGGCAATAAAAGGGAATGACATCTGGGATCGATAGATCGAAGGTGGGTATGTCGCCGGACGGCCCTAGGTCCTTGATCACTGGCCCTGAGGACCCTCATAGGTCTGCTATATACAATACATGCCACTATCAAGGCTTGGCGGTTGGTGGTTGCACTATCTAGACCTATCTCGATGAACCCGACACGACTTTGGAGCTTAAGTCGTAATGCCAATTGAGACGGAACAGAACTTTGGAACGAGCTGAAAGCAGCAACTAGACTGCATTTACGAGCGCTCAGTACTAAAGCAGATGAGTATGATGGATTTGACGTATATAGATGTGTAAAGTCTCGATTACGCAACAGACGTTTCGATTTACTCTGACACATTGAAAGGACCTGTAGACTTGAAAGGAATAAAGACAGGCGTGCGGCGTCTTTTATCTATCTTCTTATATCCTCACATTTCTCTTTTCTTCGCCGGTCGCCAGTCGTCTTTATTCATTCTAGATTTGTCTGTTGCCTTCCTTAAATATATTTTACACCGTTCTCTCTACAATGGTTTCTGGCCGTTGCGTTCTCTGGTCAATAATCGAAGGAGACGGCCGTTTCCCGGGCGCAGATCGACTCCGGTCCCATTCCCATGACTGACCGTCGGTCGTTCTGACGACCTTGGTGACCGATGGACCGTCCGAGC